ACTCCTACTCCTACTCCTACTACTCCTACTCCTATCCTTATTCCTTATTAGAATATACTCCTACTCCCCCCTCAGGCCGGCCATTAAGGGCCGCATCCGGGGGGTCCCATCCTAACCTGTAAAAAACAATACAAAATCAACATTTTTCTTATTTTTTCCTCTCGACATGGACGTCCTGTCGTCCACGGCGATAATCCATTGCAAAAAATACCACAAAGAGCACACGCGCGCGTTCATGTCAGAATCCTACCGAACACCGTGTGTTTGCAAGCATTTCAACATAAAAAACATCAAAAACCCAATGCTTTTTCACAAAAATTGTACAAATTTCCCGCCCGGGCTCTCTTGCTGAAATCATAGGAAAACCATAGGAATCTTAAGAATTCGGTCGAATCCAGCGATTTCACGTCATCGCGCGGTGCACTCGCGATGCTCTGTCATGCACCCAGGCCGCGAATCCTGTGCAACAAATACAACAAAGAGCACACTCGCGCGTTCATGTCAGAATCCTACCGAACACCGTGTGTTTGCAAGCATTTCAACATAAAAACATCAAAAACCAAATGCTTTTTCACAAAAATGCTTTGGGGTGTCCTGTCAGACCGTCGGGCTTCCTCGGCCACCTCTGGCTTCCTGCGGCGTACCGGGCCATTCTCGACTCGTCTGGCAATGCGTGCGCGGCATTCAACGCGCGCTCGCCAGTTCCCGTCGGCAACCGCCATCGCGGCCGCATCAGCTGTACCAAACCGGCTGGCGGGTGTGACTTCGGCCCCCAGTTGTGCCAGCTTTGCTTCTTATGTTGTGGGAGGGCGGGTGGGACTGGGCATGCCATGCTTGACTCGCTCGAGCTGGCTAGCTTGACTCCTACTCCTACTCCTACTCCTACTCCTACTCCTACTCCTACTCCTACTCCTGCTCCTATCCGATCACAGCCCCGAAGATGATTGACGATCGTGGCGATCGACCTTCCACAGCGTGCTGACCAGGCGCTCTCACGATCGGCACAGACCGAGGCTGTGGCCGCTCCGATACAGACTTCAGGCCAGGGTTTGCAGAGAGTGCGATGGTGCCTAGCACACGGTCCGGGTGCTCAGCAGCATAGGCCATTGCCACCCTGCCTCCGAGGGAGTATCCGACGAAGATGGCTCGGTTTATAGCCAAGTCGTCCAACAGTCTGTCCAGCGCCTCCACTACGAAAGGCATGCTGAACAAGGCTGCAGCCTCCCAAGGATCCAATTGGCTTCCAGGCGAGTCCATTTGCTTGCGGCCCATAGCGGAGTCGCCATGCCCAGGAAGGTCAATAGCCAACACAGGAAAACCGGCCTCTACGAGCTGCCGCGCCACATCTGTCCAGTCAGATTTCTCCCCAAGCCATCCATGCAAAAGCACCATCGGCACGCGAGATGCGTGGGCCCCGTTCGGCGACGGCGGCGCCACCGCAGTGTTGAGCCACGACAAGCTAGCCGACGCGAACAGCTCGTCTCGTACGGCGGAGGACACTAGACTGCTGAGCTTGGTGTGCAGACTAACGTTCTCTTCGTAAGAGGTGGTCACGCGCACCTCGATGACCCTGGCGCCCTGCTGGCCGCTCCTCTGCGAATCGACATACTCGGACTCAAACTCGTCGGCCGTCGAGCACAGCTTGTAAGGCAAGCCGAACGCGTCGCAGGCGCGGCCGAAGTCCGTATGGTGGGGTGCGGAGAAAAAGGTGTTCAGGACGTCGTGATGGTTTTTGATTGGCAGGAAGGAGAAGATGGCTCCCCCACCATTGTTCACGATCACGACGGTGAGCGGCAGCGTCTCTTGACGCGCCAGCTGGTCGAGAGCGTTCAGGTCGTGCAGGGAGGCGACGTCGCCGATGACCAGCGTGGAGGGCACCTCGGCCCCGTGGCAGTATCCAGCCGCTGTGCTGATGACGCCGTCGATGCCCGAAGCGCCACGATTCGCGGCTGCAGGGTGAGCCGCAGCCCTGTCGTTGTCCAGCGGCGGGCTCGCGAACATGTCCTGATCGCGGATTGGCATGGAGCTCGAGATCTGCATGCGGCCGCCTGGGCACAGAAGCCGCGACACGGCGAACGCCACGTAGGGCTCTGTCAGCTGCCGGGTCTCTGTCAGGTGCTCCTCCAGCACCTTCCCGGCCGCCACTGAGAGCCTGCCCCAGAAGGAGCAGGGCTCCTTCGCGGGTTGCAGCCCTGCCTCGAGCAGGGCGCTGGCGAGCGCGCCCAGGGAGCAGGGCAGGTGGTGGCTCGCCTCGGGCGCTGCGCAATGGAGGAGGAGATGGAGGAGGAGGAGGAGGAGGAGGAGGAGGAGGTGGAGGAGGAGGAGGTGGAGGAGGAGGAGGAGGAGGAGGTGGGGGGGAGAAGACACGTGCATCTTGCGTGCCCCTTTTGGGCCCGAGGGGGTCCCTCTCGGGCCCTGTGAGGCCACAAGAGGCGCACGCTTCTGCACCCACCCATTTACGGTAGGTTCGTGCGGCGTCGGCGAGTGCAAAGGTTTTTGACGCCGCGTCGATCGTTCAACCTTGCATCGATCGCGGCCCCGATCGTTCAAGGTTGAATTCCGCCGGGTCCAGTGACGTAACCGCGTCCCTCGGTGCTTCTGCGTCGCAGAAGTCAACCTTGAACGCCTTCGCTGGCGTCGCTGGCGCGCCAACGCCACATGAACCTACCGTATCCCCCCCTTACGCGACGCCCGATCGCCAGGTGGTCCGGGTCGTGCCGGATAGGGGCTGGGGCCACCCGCACGTACAGACGGGGGCGCGCGTCCTTGGCAAAATTGCCGATGCGACGGGAGACGACGGCCCCTCCCAGCTGCACCACGGCGTCCACCTGCAGCAAGCTGGCGGAGAGCAGGGGGGAGCTCAGCAGCTGGTCCGCGTAGTGCACCGTGCCTGTTCGGAGCCCCATAACGGTGTTGTGACGGACCGCGTGGTGACCTCGGCATCCCCAACGACCTCACCGCGCGGTTCGGAGGCCCCAGTCGCCCGAGATGTCCTCGAAGAATGACCCAAGTCCCAAAACCGTGCGGTGACCCCGCATACCCACTAACTCACAACGCGGTGTGGTCACCACACCGTTTGGGGCCCCCGAGCCCGGCCGCAGCCGCAGGCCCGAGGTGATGTCCGCGAACACGGCGGCCCCGAGGCGCGCGGCGACGTCCTCGGCCAGCATGGCCTCCTCAGCGGTGTGCAGGCTGCCCACCAGCACCACGATGCGGGACTTGCGAGACGACGCGAGGCCGACGAGCTCCTCCGCACATATCGTCACAATATTAGCCAGTGTGGACCCAGAGCAGTGAGTGTTTGCACCATGGAGGTGCGATGCGTGCGGAGTACGATATGTGGTGTTAGCTAGATGGTGCCAGATATGCGGAGTAAGTTCGGTCGCGTTAGTCATGTTGTGCAAGCTATGCGGTGTGAGCCACGTAGTGTTAGTTCTAGTGTGTAAGTTATGCGGTGTGAGCTATACGGTGTTCGGAGGTGAGGGGGTGAGATCGAAGTGGCACGGAGAGCCCCCCTACCGGGAAATCGATTTCGGTTTCGTGTTCGTGCGTGCCGTGCGGGCGGGCGAGGCGAAGCTGCGTGGGCGGGCGAGAAAAAGTCTCCTGTGGCTGAGGCGCGGCCGGACCAAATGATTCCCTTCCGGGCGGCTGGTGGCCCGCGGTGTTCCGCCGGTGTCCCGCGAAAATCCCGTGTGGCTGAGGCGCGGCCGGACCAAATGTCTCCCTTCCGGGCGGCCGGTGGCCCGCGGTGTCCCGCCGGTGTCCCGCGGTGTCCCGCGGTGTCCCGCGGTGCCCCGCGGTGTCCCGCCGGTGTCACGCGGTGTCCCGCGATGATGATGATGATGATGATGATGATGATGATGATGATGATGATGATGATGATGATGATGATGATGGGATGATGATGATGATGATGATGCTGATGATGATGATGATGATGGTGATGCTGATGATGATGATGCTGCTGATGATGATGATGCTGATGATGATGATGATGTTGATGATGATGAGGTTGATGATGATTATGGTGTCCCGATAATGAGGATGATGATGATCATGATAATTATGTTGATGATCATGATGATAACGATGATGGTGTCCCGATGATGATGAGTATGATGATGTTGATGTTGATGATGCTGATTATGATTGTGTCCCGATGATGATGATGTTGATGATGATGAGGTTGATGATGATTATGGCGTCCCGATGATGATGATTATTATGATGGTGATGATGATGATGTTGATGATGATGGCGTCCCGATGGTGATGATGATGATTGTGGTGATGATGATGATGATGATGTTGATGCTGATGTTGGTAATGATGATGGTGCCCAGATGATGACGATGATGATAATGCTGATGATGATGTTGATGATGCTGATGATGATGATGTCGATGATGAGGATGAGATGATGATGATGATGATGGTGTCCCGATGATGATGATGATGATGATGATGATGATGATGATGATAACGATGGTGATCATGATGGTGTCCCGATGATGATGCTGCTGATGATGATGATGACGATGACTCTGTGTCCCGATGTTGCTGATGATGATGATGCTGATCACGATGATGATTGTGATGATGGTGATGATGATGATGATAGTGGTGTCCCGATGATGTTGATGACCGTGATGATGATGATGATGATGTTGGTGTTGATGATGAGGACGGTGTCCCGATTATGATGATGTTGGTGATGCTGATGCTGATGTTGATGTTGTTGTTGATGATGGTGATGACGTTGATTGTGAGAGCGGTTGTGATATCGATAGTGAGATCGATAGTGAGACCGAATGTGATATCGATTGTGAGATCGATTGTGAGATCGATTGTGAGATCGATAGTCAGATCAATTGTGAGATAGATCGAGTGAGATCGATCGAGGGAGATCGATCGAGGGAGATCGATCGAGCGAGACCGATACTGAGATCGATAGTGAGATCGATAGTGAGACCGATCGAGTGAGACGTTGGTTCCTCCCCCCCCGAACCTCCTTATCACCCGAAGGGTGGTCGTATAGGTAGTTATGTTGTGTGAGCTATGTGGTGTGAGCTATGTGGTGAGAGCTATGTTGTGCAAGCTGTGTAGTGTGAGCTTGTGGTGTGAGATCTGCATGGTGTGAGCTGTGTGGCGTAAGCTCCTGGGTGCCCACGAGGCGCCCACGGCCCCACGAGGCGGCCACTGGGGGCGGCCACGGGCGGTCACGGGGCAGCAACGGGCGGCCACGGGGCGGCCACCGAAAAGCCCTCGGGCTACCCACTCGATGACTCATAAGAACCCGTAAGTGCGAGCTCTGTTTGGGGGCAAAAAGCAGCAAGGCGGCAAGTGTTTCATCAGCATCGGCCTGCGGAGGTCTGCTTCGGGCCTCCAGGACCGTCCAGATGACGACTCTGGATGCAAGTTGGTCGCCAGGATGGCGTTGAGCGAACCAGGGACCCACCAGTACGAAGCAAACGTGACGTCGGGCACCTGCCCTCAGTGAAGGAGACCCCTGGCCTTGGCGGCGATGTCACCTGAAGAGCCTCCGAACCCGCCCCCTTCCTCTGGCCTCCGACGTCGCGCCGTGTCCACGACGCGCGATACGGAGCCCTTGACCCCCTCCCCGGGACTGGTTTTTCGCCGCGAGGCGATATCCGATGCATGCTTGAAAAACGCACACATCGTAATATTGCTCCCAACGCCAGGGGTTCTGGGGGTCCTTCTCCCCCGGACCTAACCTTGGGCGTGTTCCGACAGCAGTTCCGGCACGGACCAAGCCGTAGCCACTAGGGCGCCCTAAGAGGCCCAGGAAAGCCCAAGAAAGTCCAATGCATACAAATACTCCCCAAACAGTGTTTGCACTTGGAGGTTCTTCCTCCTGTTCTACTGAACGGGGACGGTTTAGCGTTCTGGCGGCTCCGACGTCGCCGTCGCCGCCCAGTCGCCGCCTCGTCGCCGCCCGTCGTCTTTGCCAATGTGGCGGTCTGGCGGCTATGTTGTTGCCGTCGCCGCCCCAGCGCCGCCTCGTCGCCGCCCGTGGTCTGGGCCAGCGTGGCGGTCTGGAACCAATGTTGTCGCCGTCGCCACCCAGTCACCGCCTCGTCGACGCCCGTTAATAGGCCAGTGTGGCGGTCTGGCGGTTCCGACGTCGCCGTCGCCGCCTCGTCGCCGCCCGTCGTCGCTGAAATATGTGGTGCAGTATACATAACTTAGTAACATTTTTATACACACACACTAGAACCACGCGCGCGCTGCGCGTGAGAAGGTCCTGGCACGCTCTAGGTGTAGTCTAACGTGGTCGGCATCGGAGGACATATGTTGTCACACGAGTCGTGCCCCACTGGGAGCTTCACCTGCGGCCCCAGCGACAGGCTTGACTTAGCGTCCCCCCGCCCATGTCGGCACACCCCTCACAGCGATCGCGCCCCACAGGGATCTCCACCTACGTCCCCAGAGACAAGGTTCGCAGAATGGCACGCCCCTCAGACGGACCGTGCCCCGCAAGTAAATGCTTTTCAGGCACCAAAGGGAAGTTTCATAGCGTCGCCCAGCTCACTTCCGCACACCTCTCACAGATCTTGGCCCGCAAAAAGTTGCACGGACGGCCCAAGGTTCGCATCCCGCCCCTTGCTTACATCGGTTCACCTCCTGCACGGATCGTGGCACACAGGGATCTCGACCTACAGCCCCAGAGGCAGGGCTCGCGCTGCACCCCCCACCGGCCGCTGCGGGACAACCCCATCACGCGGCTCGTGCCCACAAGGAGCACCACCTAAACGCCCAGAGACCAGGATCATACAGCGACCTCCCGCCCATGACAACACCTGTCACGCGAATCATGCCCTAGCAGCAGCTCCACCAATGGGCAGCTTCGCATGGCGTCCCCCCGCCCATTTCGGAACATGCCTCACTCGGGTCGTGCCCGGAGGAGGTCTACTTGCGGCCTCAGTGTGCGTGTTCGCGCGGGGGCATCCGAATTATTCGGTACACCCTTCACGCGGATCGTGTTTCAGAAAGAGTTCAGCGCACCTGTGTACTCGTGCTCCGAAGCAGCCATCTTTCCGCATAGCCCCGCGGCGCGCAATGTATGAAGAGAGACCCGCGCTCTGCGCTACCCATTACTGCCCAAGAATGGGTCCGTCGCCAAACAAATTGCTTGCTTATTAGACCTAGCACTTCGGGCCTCATGGGGCCCTCTCAGGGTGCATCCTGGAACCTTCTTAGGCCGTATTCGGGGCTTCTTGAACCGTCTTGTTCTGGCGTCTTCGACCCTGTCAGGCCACTCTGGTCTCTTTTTGGCAGCCTCCGGAGCTGTTTGAGCAGCAGGGGGGAGGCCCAGGAGGCTCCGGAAGGGGTCAGAAGTGTCGTGGGCGAAAGGGGGGGAAATCTAGGAGGGTGTCCGGGCCCGGTTTGGGTCCTCCTCCTCCTCGTCCTCGTCTTCGTCCTCATCCTCCTTCTCCTCCTCCTCCTCCTCCTCCTCCTCCTCCTCCTCCTCCTCCTCATCCTCCTCCGTTCCTCCTCCTTGAAAATAGCTCCTCCCTGTCGCACCCCAAGGCTGGTCGGAAGGGCGGGCCGAGAGTTTCGCCCGAGACTTCATCACCACTCGTGACCCTGAAGCTTAAAAACTGATAACATCTTCACAGATGGAGAGCGGGTGGTTTTCAAAATGTGGCTCTCGCCTTAGCGCCGCGCAAATTGCTTTAAAAAAGTGCAAGAGTTTCACGGATTGAGGGCGGGTCGTTTGCAGAATTCGGCTCTCGCCCTAGCACATTCGTCGCAAAAATTTGCGAAAACTTCAAGGATTGAGGGAGTTTCGTTTTCAAAATGTAGCTCTCACCTGAGCGCCGCGCACTTTCGTTTTAAAAGTGCGCAAGACTTCACGGATTGATGGCGGCTCCCGTTTCCTAAAAGTTCACAGAATTTCACGAATTCGCATGGCTAACATGCAAGAAATGGTATGTTGGACCAGTTCATGACTGTCCGGGCGCAACAGTTAGGTTGATTCGCTGTGTTGACGTCCCAGGAGTGGTGTGTCTGGCACGATTCAGGATCGCCAAGACCACACAATCAGTCTAACCCGTGGCGTTGAAGCCCTGAGAATGGTGTTTGGCCGCGCTTCATTCTCTTACACGGTTGTACCCCACCGTCATCCTCGTACTACTCCTCCTCCTCCTCCTCCTCCTCCTCCTCCTCCTCCTCCTCCTCCTCCTCCTCCTCCTCCTCCCTCCTCCTCCTCTCCTCCTCCTCCTCCT